TTGACTGTACAACATCCGTCTGCAGCAGCTTAACTTCAGCCATGACGCTATTTTCAAAGCCTTTTGCATCAAAAGGCCCAAATCCAGATCATATTCCACTGTCTTTCATCCAGAATTGTGCAGCATCGTTGGCATCTTCAATCGTTCACTCCTGGATGGCGTTTTACCAGATTGCTGGAAGCTTGCATCAATCACACCGATCTTTAAGCCAGGAAACATTCACAGCGTGGGAAACTACCGACCTATCTCGATCCTTAGTTGTTTGGCCAAAGTTATCGAAAGTCTTCTGCATGACAAGTTGTATCCAGCTGTGCAATCTATAATCTTGGAGTTCCATTCATGAAAAAGCGCTCGACGATCTCCAACTTGATGTCCTACACCAACACTCTTATTGGTAGCATAGAAAAGCGTCAGCAAGTAGACGCCGTTGACTTCTCTAAGGTTTTCGACAAAGTCCCTCATGTCCTCGCTATTGCATAGCTGAGCCGCCTTGGTCTTCCGACGTGGGTTGTTCGTTTGTAAAATCATATATATCCTCCAGGAAGGCCTTCGTTAAGGTTCATGATGCTAGATTCGATGTGTATCAAACCATCGGGAGTTTCAGTAGGGAGCCACTTAGGACATCTTATTTTCGTTTTATTTATTAACGACGTGTGTGGCCACTTAAGGTTCTACAAAGTGTAAGAAAATTTGTATCATTCTTCTTTTTGAAATATCATTCAATCATTATCATTAGTGCTGATGCAAATTTTGTAATTTTCAGTCCACAGCAGTGCTGCAAAATCTCGACAGTACACGGTGATATTGACAATTCTGCTTTGGTCACTCATTTGAGCTAACAGTCATAGTCAAGGCAAACCATGTCAATTGTCAATGACAATGGTGTCAATGACGAACATGTGCAGATTTGTTTATTAGCTAAATTTGTAACGAAATTAAATAACTTGAGCAAAACAATTACATGGAACCATTTTAATGAACAAGTATCTACGTCCTGAGCTACTTTGATAACAATAATGTGACACAGAATGTACTAAATTACACTTTTTGTTACCAGGTGAATCTTTGTCATTGACGAAAAAATGAATGAGATTTTGACGAAGGTTTTTTTTGAGGATTAAGTCTGTCAGTGACTATGTGACGAACAATTTTGTCAATATCGCGCAAAAGTCTGTCAATGACAATGACAAACCTCAGCACTGGTCCACAGTGCTCAAACGGTTTCAAATTGTGTCCTGATTATCCTCCCGAAATTTGAACTCCTTTAGTAAGAACCTTACTTACACAATATGGAAATTACTATAGGGAAACCATCATTTCGGTTAATATCTATCTCAAAATTCACCAGTTCACTCTACTTTATAAAATTAAAGCTGACCTTGTTGAGAATTTTCTCAGCTACAACTTTGTTGAAGACTAGTTTTCGATCAAATGTAAGGAACAAAAATAAGTAATGATTCAAATCACTGGTGTCTTATGATTATGCTCACTCAACTGTTCAGTAGGCAACATTGGTGTTTATGGCGCGTAGAATAGAGGACAAAATCATGGATACTATGTCACACTGCAGAATACAGTGTTGCCTACAATACAGTTGCTTAATCTTGCCATAAGATTAGCAACCTCTTAAACAATTAATAACTATTTAATTTGACGTTTGGTTGAAAAACGATTTTCTGCAAAGTTGTTGCTGATAAAAATTCCCATACGAATAGCAATAGAATTTGTTAATAGTACAATATGTAAAAAAGCTAGAAGACAATGAACAAAATGTTTGGTTTTCCCGTAGTAATTTCCATATAAACATCAAATATGTTTGTGCCAAGTCAGTTTCTTATCAAATGAGTTTAAACTTTCGGAGGCTAATCAGGACCCGATTTGAAATGGTTTAAAAAATTTAAGTTATGCATCAGTCTAGTACCGAAAATTTACGACATGTATTTCATGTTTTTAGAAAGAACATTTCCTGGATAAAACACATTCACTGTATTTACTAACTTGTATACTTCGAAGCATAGCAAAATTACACGCAATTGAATACACGAACAATCGAACTCAAAACAACTGCTTCAAGATACTCTTGGTGAACAAAATTGATCACCTAGAAAACCACTTCAACTTTACTGCGTTGCTAGAAATCGTGAAAGTATCAATGAAAAAGCGTTGCCAGATGTATTTCCTCTAGCAATAAATTTAAGTTTATTAAAAACAAGTACTTGTGAACGTTGACTCATTAGCATAGATGCGTGGATGTATTTTATGGTGAATAAATATGAGAAACTGAATAAATAATCCAAAACGAGCATTTTAGGCATTTTACCGGTCCAATTAAAAAAGTCACAGAAGATTGAATTGAACACTAACAGGAAAGTTGACAGCAGTGCACACAACGTATCATTCCCTTTCCCTCTCATGGCGGTAATCTCCAACTCGGATCAACTTTCAATACCGGCCCTGATTGAAGGATCTGGCCAAATGTTTATTAGGGATCGTATTGATTAACATCGACATCACAACAACCTGACATTCGGGTTCAGGGTTTAATCAGAGGATAATACGGGTTGGAGCTTCCCGAGCAGGAACGAATATCTCGATACCTTAAATTGGTATGGATGAGCCTGACATAAGACCAAAAAATAATACCAAAAAAATGTTCCCACAATACCATTCCAATACCAAATTATGATAATGCAATACCAAAAAAATACCACCCAGGTATTCTTTTGGTATCCAAATATCAATGTTTGGTATTTTGCATGTAATTGTTTGGTATTATTCTTTGGTATTTTACCTCTTATGTCATGCTGATCAATACCAAATTTTGGTATCAGATCAGAATTAGGTATTCATTAGTTACTTTCTCCTGCTCGGGTTACCACCATCAGGAGTGTACTCGCAATTTCTCACTGCGCGGTCTGGAAATGTCAATGTTTGGCCTATAACATCCTTATGCACTAAGTAGTGTGACGTCACATTTGCTGTTGTATTGAAATGAAGGAAGAAAAGAGATGGTTAAACTTTCCTCAACATACCAGTTGATATTTGTGTGTTTTGGCGTGGTGAAATGCACTGGACTGAATTTTACATTTAGAAAATGATGATCGAAGAATATTTCAAAAAGAAGAAAAAACAAATTTATTTACCCATTGCAGAACCTTAAGTTCCTGTAAGTTGTTATATGCTGATGATTTGAAAGCCTACCGTGTGATCAAATCGATCACACATGTTGAATTACCCGAGCAGGAAAAAATAACTTATTGATACCAAATTCAGGTATGAAAATAGCATAACTGGCAACCTAAATATGGTATTAGTGAGGCTTACATAAGAGGTAAAATACCAAAAATAACACCAAAAAAACATTCTAGGAATAACGAACTAATAAGTAATTTAGTTATTACAATAACAAACGGATAACAGACGCTTTTTAAGATGCCAGAATACCATAGTTTGTTATTTTGAAGGTCTTCTAATACCAATTCAATAACTCTTTTAGTTTTTATTGTCTAAAAACTGAAAGATCACATTTTGTTATTTTGGTATTCATTTGATATTTTACAAAATATTTCGGTAACTGAATTATATCAAAACAAGGTTTTATACCACAAGCATACCAAAATCTGCTGTCATACATAATTAAGATATTCATTTGTTATCGACTAGCTATCGGTTCCTGCTCGGGTAGGGCTGTCCAATGCATAGTATAAATAAAGTATTGAGCTGCCGGCCTCACCTCCGACCCCCGGGCCGTAGTGATGTTTTAAGTATGAATATTTTACTTTTAATTACGGTTAGCGAGTTTGCAGCCCATGTTAATGGGGTGTTTACATCTGTGCAGATTTCGAGGCAGATTTGCTAGCGCGAATGTACTAGTCAACTAGCACGAATTTCAGTTGCTCCTGAAATCTCATGCTGGTAGACGCTGATGCCCTGTTTACATTATGCTAGTGAGCTTTTTTGCTAGCAGCTAGCTCTAGTGAAATAGCATAAGTGTAAACACCCCATAATTGTTTATGAGAAAGCTAGGTGATACTGAGAGGCAAGCACATATCATCAGTAAGAGACGTGTGTGTGAGAAAATTTGCGAAAAAAATAAAGGCACCGGTGGGACTCGAACCCACAATTTCCATTCAGTACATGGATGGATTGCCAATTATGTTGAAATTAAATTATGTGTCCAACGACATTTTTTCAAGATTCCGTGTACGAAAGTAGTTAATGATCCAGAAATTTAGTTCGTATGCTTGGACATTTTTTAGCTCCCCATTTATTAAAAATGTTAACGATTCGGAGACATAAACTCATACAAAATTCTGGATATAAAAATCAATACCTCAACCTTGAACTTAAAGTTTTCTAGTGCTTTATGATTTACCACCACCCCGCTAATCTCCTACACACTTAGTTTTTTCTACCGAACTCGGCTGTGCAAATCTCGGCAAAAAAAGTTTCACTGAGATCTCAGCAAAAGTGACATTTGATTGCTGAGTCTCGGATAATGCTTAGCTGAATTTCAGCAAACAAATGAAATGTTTGCTGAGATCTCAGTGAAACTTTTTTTGCCGAGATTTGCACAGCCGAGTTCGGTAGAAAAAACTAAGTGTGTACATGATGCTATTGCGAAAGTTATATCTATATTTTCAAATATATGTTATGCCGCAAAAATTTGATTTTTATCATCAGCACTGGATTTGTCGCATAAATAAAATTACCCAATGAACTGTGTGAACCACATTCTTATCACCATCATCACCGTTTGTTTACCAACAAACCGGCATTTCGCACAGAATGTTTTCCCCCACATATATGTAACTCGGTTATCTAAGAGCAACCCTGCCGGCATCGATACCCTTATCAGCCGCCCCTTATCTACTTTCACCGCCATTTGTAAACTGATATGATTGCATTCTTTGCAGCTGTTAAACGCCTCTTCGAAGTCTGTTCTATTTCGTATTTAACTAATACATTGCATAATTATTACAACCGACGGAAATACTAACCTCATCCGTGCACCAAGCACAGGAGCGGTCAGCATCCAAACACTCGATGCACGTTTTCTGAAATAGGCACTTGGAGGGATCTGCAATGAAAAAGTACGGTGGATGATGCATTCCGGCCTAATAACTGCTATGAATCATCACTCACTTTGACCGTTCACATCGCGGATAACCGTCACGTATAGCACCAGAAATACAAAAATTAGTTCTTTAAACATATTTGAAAACACTAAACTGACTTAAAGGAATGAGATTTTACGCATTTCGAATAATTTATTAAAACTGGATCAACCGTCTCGCCGCAACAGAACCGAATCACCTAATGCTTCTGATAAGTTGGACATACTTATCAATATCCGAAGCCACCGCGCGCGTTAGGAGTGTGAAAGGTGATAAGATAACGGCCTTCCGGACAGGGCGATTGCCCATCATAGGTATAGGTGTTGGTGGTTACCAACGCAATGTGTCGTAGAATGACAGTTATCGGATGGAAGGAAAACACAATCCAATTCAATAGGGTTGGTTCATGCATGGCTGCAATTCGAACACTGCTCTTTAGTGTACTAAAAGTGTGTTCTAACCGAAAGGGGATTTCTTCAAGGAACGTTTTAGGATGTTGGTTCGGACACATCTATCTCTCGTGTTTGTCTTCAATCCATGGAAGACAAAAGAAAGCAGCGCTTCATTGTACGCATTAGAAGTGGAATGTAGATACCAGGGTTTTAAAAGGGGAAGAAATTGAAAACAGACTTCAGTATGGATTCTAGGGTTTTCTTATTCACTAACAACTAGGTGACACCTTAAACAACTACTTTCCCCACAATTAGGAATGATCCAGCCTTAATGCCTAGCCTGTCTTAATCACATTTCATCGTCGTTTCCTAAAACAAGGCAAATCACATATTTGTATCAGTTTTCCTCCCTCGACACTCGCTTACTAACTAAGGAAATTTAAAACGTTTATTCTGGACACATTATCTTTTAAGGAAAACCAGTTTTCCACCGTGATTTTTCTTCTGTTATGTTAGGTTAAAATCTTTCAGTCCTGTGTGGATGCACAATAATCTATTTAGTACAGAGTGTGTGATTGTGTATGAGCAGAAAAGCTGACATTGCGACAATGGTCCGGGTGGCATGCTGTTTTCTACAGTACCCGTTCTCCGGTGGACAATCGATGTACCAGCAGGGGAGATGCTTTCGTATTGTTGTTATCCATCTCCTCCGAAGACATAGGATCTGCGTGACCGTTCATTTTGACTCCATTCGGTGTCTGGACAGGGGTTACGGTGTGCTGGGGTGTAGCGTCCGGAACGAGTCGTCGCAGGAAGCCCGAGTTACATCCCCATGGGAAGATCCTGGAAAAGACGTAAGGTTTTTGTTTGATGAAATGTTGATCTACGTTGGGACAGATTTATTTTTAATTTTGCACATGGATAATCATTGTCATGAATTGGGATCCAAAAATGGTTGATTTGATCTACCAGTTTAAATTTTACCCTAAGATGTAAATTTTTATCTCTTCTGTTTTTCTAGCTTTTTTTATGGCGGTAAGTTCCATCGAGTATAATACGCGATTTAATCCAGAATTTCATAAATCTAGATTAAATTGTAATACCATAGAGGTAACTCTAAGGGGCCTCCCTTAGCTCAGTCGGTAAAGGCGCAGCTACAAAGCAAGACCATGCTGGATGGAGGTGTCTGGGTTCAATTCCCGGTCCGGTCTAGGAATTTTTCGGGTTGGAAAATTTCTCGACTTCCCTGGGCATAGAAGTATGATTGGACTTGCCACACAATTATATCAATGCAAAAATGGTACAGGCATCGAAAGCTCTCAATTAATAACTGTGGAAGTGCATCTAGAACACTAGGTTGAGAGCACGCAATAAGCTAATATGCGATATGCAATAAGCTTGAAATGTGAAGAAGAAGAAGAAGAAGAAGAGGTAACTCTAAGGCCAGAAGGTCCCGAAGAAACGTGCTCAACTTTTTGGGTCAGTTCTGGTACTCTCTTCGGTCCCAAGCTAATCGATGCACTCTTCGAAACATAGGAAAATCCCCGAACCCCTCATAATATCTGTCAAACTTTTATAGCTAATCAAAACAAACATAGTGTAGTACTAGAATTTCAACTAGAATGGGGTACGTTAATCGATTTGCTTGGGATCAATAGGCTAGTCAAATAGTGAGCCAGTTTAAAATCGTTAGTTTTCACCGGTTGATAAAACTCTGGAGTGATTGGTGACGATCCGGCAGGCGTGATTTACTTTGATCATGCCGATGTGTTGTAGGTATGCGAGAAGGCATTTCTTAGGCAGCTGGATAATTTATCGTCGTGTAAGAAGCAAGGTTGGAAAGACTCATTTCAGCTAAAACAATGTTTTTCTAAATTATGAAATAATTAGATGCCATGATCAAATTTTGCATTGGTAGGATACAAGAAGAGGTTGCAAAGAATGTGTTTGACATATTAAACCTGTTTATTTCACTTCATGAGAGTCACAATCAGCGATTTTTCACAAACTCACTCACTCACTCACTCACTCACTCAGCGATCAGCAAATCGCTGATTGTGACTCATAGAAAGCAAAATTTACAGGTTTTATGTTTCCAACGCATACTTTGTAACCTCTTCTTGTAAGTTACAAGTAAAACATGCCATCATACCATCTTTTGGTTTTATTATTCCGAAAACATTATTTTAGCTGAAATGAGTCTTTGCAACCTTGGTAAGAAGATTATTTCAAAGATGCTGTACTGCGGATTGATCAAGCGTCACGCTTCTCATCGTCAGCATAATCCGTAGAATCGCGAATGTGATATCGGACTTGTTCGTGTTTTCCGTGGACTTGAGGATTAGTATTTTGGACTGGTCAGCAAATCGCTGGGTATTGTTGAAGAGTAAAAAATGACATTTGATACCGTCTTCAATCAGAGGTTGCCCAGACTGAACACTTAACGCTAGCCCGAGCAGGAGAAAATAACTAATGAATGCCTAATTCTGATCTGATACCTAAATTTGGTGTTAATCAGCATGACATAGGAGGTAAAATACCCAAGAATAATACCAGAAAATTGCATGCAAAATACTTGTAAATAACAAAATTTGATATTTGGATACCAAAAGAATACCGGTGTTGTATTGTTTTGGTATTGCTTTTGCATAATTTGGTATTGGAATGGTATTGTGAAAACACTTTTTTCCTATTATTTTTGGTATTTTATCTCTTATGTCAGGCTCATCCATACCAATTTTAGTTATCATTATATTCGTTTCCGCTCGGGAGACAACGGACAACACACACAACCAGCGTTGCCAGTATTCCAGATTCATCTGGATTTTTTTTAAATATCACTGCAATCGATTTTCCCTCTAATAAAAAATAAAAAGCCAAACTTGCTACTTTAATAATTAAAGGCCAACATCATTGGATTTTTAAGGGAGTTCTGAAAATATTTCGCAGTGAAATGTGAGGCGAATTCTTTATGAAAGCAAAAGAGAATTTCATGCTAATTCTAAGTAGAATTACATCCATCTTTGTGGGATTCAGGGTCGTGTGGCGTCATCCATCATTCAGACGTATTGTGAGCGCCACGAAGTGAAGGTTCGATTCCCGCTCTAGCCGGTGCAAATTTTGGCAACCTGAAAATTTTCCTACTGGTCTAATCGGTGTGGTGTGTTGTCCGTTGTTTAGTGTTAAATATTCAGTCTGTGCAACCTCTGGTTTAAGACGGTGTCAATTGTCTTGTCAACTCTGATGACAATTGCATGGAGATTTTGTCAATAAAGGAAATACAATCCGAAAGAGAAATCGTAGAAAATTCTTATGATGAAACTTAAGGAGTATGCTGATTATAATCATTAGAATAATATCAATGAAATTGTGTCCATTGTTCGTATGGAGATTAATTTTAATAAAATTTTAAGCGCAATTTCTGGAAAACTTTCAATATCATTTTGACAAAGTACTTGAGTACCTAGGTAATACTGAAAAGGATTTCAAAACAATTCTGACCTTCCCTACAAAGCAGATCAAAGGGAATTATCGGATAAGTTTGAAAAGAGTGTGACGGTCATTCTGAAGAGTGTATCAGGGAAATTGTTAAAAATATTTTAAGAATTTCATAGAGAAAAATGGACACAAAATTGAGCCAAATCTTGCCAGTTTGAGGGAGTTGTGAAATTAGAGAGTGATTTATAAGGGATTACAAGAGGTAATGCAAAGAACTCTTAGAATATTACTGGAAAAGTTTAGATATTTTCAAGATTATTTTAGGGGAATATAGAAAAGAAATATGATAGAATTTTGGGATGATTCAAATTGAACTTAAAAAAGGCAAAGATATCTTGTGGAGAGTTCCAAGTAAATTCAGACTAACAAAAAAAAATCATGATCTAGGACGCAGGAAAAATATAAACTCCGGAATTTAGAATCTTTGCAAGATCCTGAGACTTCAAAAATGAAGCTATCAGACCTTCATTTTAGTAATATAATAAAATTATTCGTAATGGTCATGCGAATAGTGGATTTACCCGTAGTTTAGGTAAATTCTGGTACTGCATCGACTATTAGTTCCAAAAATCCATCCCAAAAAATTTCCTTGATTCTTTGCTACTCATTCTTTAAAAAAAATACAGTTTAAAAACAATTCTAACCATATTTTCTGCTGTTTTTTTAACCACATTTAACTCAATTTTTGAAATGCTGCGTAATGGATATTTGAACTTTTTGGGCACACCGTGTTTCAATACTTATCAACGTTTGCTAACAAGTTATTTGCTTTATATAATTTATTTAAGCATGTAATTTTTAACCATTCTAGAACTTTAATTAAATTCCAGATGATCATACTGACCTATTTTTACAGGAGATTTCAATATCGTTATGTTAAAAAGAGGATTTTTTGGAGCATTCCAGATTTATCCAGATTTTATATTTTACCTGGTCCAGATTTTTTTTTCTGAAAATGACCTGGCAACGCTAACAAAACCCAATAGACCAGTTAGGAAATTTTCGAGTTGCGCAAAGTTCCACCAGCTGGAGTGGGAATCGAACCCTCCCCTCGTGGAACTCACAATACGCCTGACCAACGGGTGACGCCGCTAACCATACGCCCACCCTTAATAGAACAAGCTTACATTTTCAGGTGGCGCCTCTCTTGCCTCTCTCTAAGATTATTTTATCGAAATCTGTGAAATTTACCGAAATCTCAACAGCTGAAGGTTCGGTAAACAGTTCGGTGATTTTTCACAGATTTCCTGTATTTTTTCATAGATATTAGGTGAAAAATTACAGGAAATCTGTGAAAAATCACCGAACTGTTTACCGATAGTTCAGCTGTTGAGATGTCGGTAAAATTTCACAGATTTCGGTGAAATAATCTTGGTGTGTACTCTTCAACGAGTCTCAGCGATTTGCCAACCAGTCCAAAACACTCACCACTCAATCACTAACAAGTCCGATATCATCCAACGACTCCTCATCGTCTCCAAGCTATTCATCGTCGCAAGCCAGCGGTGTATCATATTTTCCAACATATTCATATTCACCCATAGCTCGTACTTTCCAAGCTTCCCCAACTATTCACCAAATTTCCTCTGCATACCGAGTAGCAAAACCTACTTCTTTTATAAGTTCAATCGTTCAATCCAGTTCACATGAAGTCCGTCACATTCTCTAGCTTCTCATTATTTCCCAATCTGCAATAAGCAGAAAAATATGACATATCTTATTGTAGCTATGGAAATCTCAGATGAGCTCAACAAACATCAAATAGCTTCAGTGCAGTTCTCTAAATTACTCTAAACATCTCAAAACTGTTCTGCATACATCAAGTTCAGATAACTTTAGAGACGTTCTGTGAGCTTCAGTTAACTACGACGAAGGAGCTTTAAAGAGTTCCTATGCAATTAATAAATGATCTGATAACATCAAGAGAAGTTCTCTGATCTTAAAAGGAAGTTTTCTGAACTTCAGGCGAAATTCTCTGAACTTCAGGCGAAATTATCTGAACTACAGGCGAAATTATCTGAACTTATAGGGAAGTACAAAGAAGCTCCCAACAAACAATTCAGAGTCACAAATAAGCATATATAGTATTTGGAATAAATGCTGTATAACAGTGTACAATGCTGAATAAAACGGGTTGTCGAATTATGTGCTTTAAAAACCTCATTGAGATCGACAGAAGCTCCTTTATTCCGCTGTTTGCTCTGATCTGATTAATTTACTTATTAAAAGCTATATAAATGTTGACTGTCTTCCTGATTCAATACCAGAAGTTTGATCTAATATCAAACTGAATAAGTGTAATTTGCACATGCATTGACGTTTTAATTCGACTGTTTTCAATTGATTTAATAAAATGCTTAATTAGACGTCTAATAAAGGTGTTCTAGCTCATTATTAGATTCCATTGCATTTTTTAACAATATTGCTGAATAAAGGTGAATACAGTCAGCATAATAGCTCTTATACCACTATGCGTCCATGTTTTAATTGCATGCTTTGTAAATGCTTTACAAACGGCGAATTCATTCATTATTCCACAACACTGCTTCAGGCTAACAACAAAACGAAATTGGTAGCATAGTGGTTACCGTTTCCGCCTTCCAAGTAGAAGATCGCGAGTTCAATTCTAACCTCAACCCTTTTTTTTATTTGTGTTCAACGCATAATTAGCTTAAATAGTAATCATCGATCACATCACTCACGACAACGAATTCAACGATCTAATGAAAAGAATAGCCCAGCTTCATTTCCATGGAAATTGGAGAGGTAACATTGGTCTCATATAAAACAACGATGAATGACAACTCCTTGAAGTAGCTAGAATTACGATCGGCAGTGCCGATAGGTATTCAGGTTCAAGCTTTTATTGATTATTTAGCTGCCCATATGATGTATTCTATGATAGATGACATGGCAAGCGGCTGATCGGAAGGTCATGATTCGAATCCCTTGCATGGGATATGTGTATGTATGTAACAAAAATTTCCTAATTCTGTGTGGGTGCCGTGCTTCGACAGAAATAATGACAATAATCACTAACGAGAATCAACCCTGTTCTTCCGTTCTTATTTTCGGATTAATTATCCAGGAGTTAAATAATCGTTTAAAAAATGGATAATAGTGTCTAATTAAACGTTACTTCACATGAAAACTAAGCGTAGGGTTTTTGATCTAATTTCCGTCTTACTAAGCACAACCCAAGCTCTTTCTTCAACGGATTTAAACAAAACATGAAATGTTTCATTCAAATATGGCTTCTAAATTTATTCCCCTTTCCATAAGTACCGCGGAATTTGATAAAGAGGCACACATTGTTGAGATATTGTTACAAATCTAACACTGCTTCTTGATTTCAAATTCGTCCTACGAGTTTCAATTCCGTCCAAACGCATTGAAACGCTATTGGATTTTCTTCGTCCTACGGATGAAGGTAGAAAAAGCGAGTTTGCTAGGAGCGCTTCTTTTGTTTTGAGAACAATGAGTGTAAATATTCACCCAATACGCTCAAATAGGCTTTGCGTTGTAGCTTGTAAACTAACGCATCAGTACAAACGTATTACTGATTTGTGCACGGTCAAATAATTGATTATACTGATTTTTTTTTTTTTTTTTTTTTTGTCTTTATTTTAGAGATTTTTAGCCTGAGGCTAGTTCATCTCTTGATTATACTGATGTTTTCTGCTCGATAGAACGAAAATGGACGATTACGACGAAGTAGCGCTCTACCTTATTACACCTTTATACCATAACTGTTTAAGGAAGCTGAATAATCAAAAAAAAAAATAAATGATCGTATATGCTCTGTTACAACTCATGTAATTCGAATAAAAGCTTCTCGACGTATCTTATACTAAAACACCAGGTAGTTCAATTTTGTAGTTGAATAAATTCTCCAGATTTGTGTGAACAAAGCCTGAACAGTAGTTATTCTTATAAATAGTACAAGTTTTATTAAGTTATGCACTTGTATAAAATCGCCAAGAAGTCGTTTATTTAATAGGCGAATGTTTGTTGTGTTCACAATCACAGGACTTGTGACGTAAAGTTTACAGAACTGAAGTTCAGAGTATTTAAAAAGTTCACCAAACTTCCCTGAAGTTCACAATCAAAGTTCCCTGAAGTTTGACGAAAAGTTCTGACAAGAAGTTAAGAGAATTTCCAACAAGAGGTTCAGAAAACTTCATTGAAGTTCTCTGAAGTTCAGAGACCATCTGACGTAAAGTTTAGAGAACTTCTGACAAGACGTTCAGATGTTCACAGTACGTCCGACGAGAAATTCAGAGACCTTCCGAGAAGAAGTTCGCAGTACTTCTGAAAAGAAGTTCGGAGAACTTCCTAAGAGAAGTTCACAAATCTTCCGAGGAGAAGTTCACAGAACTTCCGACGAGAAGTCCAGAGGACTGCCGAGGAAAAGTTCAGAGAACTATCAAGGAGAGGTTCACAGATCTTCCGAGGAGAAAATTAGAGATCTTCTGGCGAGAAGTTCAAAGATCTTCCGATGAGAAGTACAGAGCTTTCGAGGAGAAGTACAATGCTTCCGAGGATAAGTTCAAAGCTTCCGACGAGAAATTCAAAGCTACCGAGGAGAAATTCAGAGAACACTCGAGGAGAAGTTCTGAGAACAGCCGATGAGGACTTCACAAAATTTCCGACGAGAAGTTCATAGAGCTTCCGAGGAGAAATTCACAGAATCTCCGATGAGAAATCCAGAGAACCTCCGCTGAGAAATGCAAAGAACTTCTAACGAGAAATTCTGAGAACTACTGACAAGAAATTCCGAGAACTTCCTACTAGAAATTCACAGCAATTCCGACTAGATGAACATAGTAGAAGCATAATCCATCCCAAATAGCCAACAAGTTTCTTGGCAAACATGGAACATGAAATAGGGGAAAAAATGGATGCTGTGGAAAAGTCTTTTGTCTAACGGTCATTTATCATGTTTACTCTTTCAAATGTTTTCAAACTCATTGCTCGATTCCGAGCAATTAGAAGGCGGACTCGCTTGCAGAAGTGGGCGCTATGGAAGGCGATTTTTACGATCGACAAATCATTTATCGTCAACAGTCACTCGCCAGCTGGCAAAATAAATGGAGTGAAGGGAGTTTGGGACGATGGTTATATTCAATCATCCCTAAGGTGTCGAAGTGTCCTTGATTCAAAGGTTTGGAGGTGGGTCGAGACTTCATTCGTGTGATGTCTCGCCTCATGTCCAATCACTATTCGTTAAGCGCTCACTTGTCCCGTATTGGGCTGGGGGACAGTAATCTCTGTGAATGTAGACAAGGTTACCAGGACGCAGATCACATTATTTGGTCTTGTGCATCGCGGAGTCAGATCTGAGCTGTACGATTCCCTTCGGGCTCGAGGTAGACAACCTAATGTCCCAGGAATATTTTGGCTAGACGCGATCTGGAGTTTATGCAACTCATATATGTTTTCTTTAAGAATATTAACCATAGATTGTAAGTTTGATTAACCTTGTGTTTAGTTTGTATTTTGTGTGTGTGTTTTTCTGTATATTTGTTTCTGCAATAATTGTATATTTACAGAGTTGATATAACGTCGATAGGATTAAATATATGTTTTAGAAATAGTGAAATTTTTGAGTCATAAATCATATTCCAAATCTCCTTTTCCCTCTCCCTATCCAAACAAAGAAAATGATAACTTGGCTCTGTAAAGTTTATTCGATTGAGCCTGTACGAATAAAGTAATTACCAAAAAAAATAATGTTTTCAAAAACAAAACCATACAAGTCATTTTTGCATTGGTATTATTGTGTTAGCAAGTACAATCATACTCTATAAAAATGTTCCAACCCGTAAAATTCCTGAGCCTTTACCGAATGAGCTAAGGGAGGCGACAAATCCCAACAAAACGTTAATTAATTTTGACTACAGTGAAAAATTAATAATACATAAGTTGCGCCGTTTCTCCGTAGCCTGGTAAGTTGAGATTTTCACAAAATTTAGAAAGTTAGCGATTTTTATGAGTAATTGCGAAAGATATGAATAGCATGCTAGAAGACTGCGGTTTTTTTCAGAATGAGTTACCCTTCTTTGGCAGAACCTCATTGATTTAGCACATAAATTAAACATTTTTAGAGTGTCACAGTCAGTTTTACTGTCACAGTACAATCTTCTGATTATGGACTCGGAGTTGATATAATTACAACGATCCTGACTTCCACCTCTCAGAGTATGCAATTTCTCTTGACACCGAGCCTGTTCCACAGCCCTGGTCTTCTTGAATCAATGATTTTCATCCGATATCATCGAAGAAATATTTCTTCAACTCGACAATCAACACATCATTTTAGAATCGTGGAATGAAATTCAAGTGGGAAAAGGACAGGATCAGCAGGACTATACCTAAAATCGTATTTGTTTGCAGCTAATTTCAACCAAAAACTTACCACTTAACTGCCAGCATAGCTCTCAGATATCCCGGAATGATGGCGTACTTATCGTTCTTTCGGACGGCATCAATAATCCGATCAGCCACGTTGTTGGAATCCAAAGTGGGAACCCACCTAGAATAACACACTCAACCAATTAATCATTCACTAACCTTGACTCTCCGATCAGCTACTAACCTGGAGTTCACATCGTCAAACATGCCGGTTGCCTGGATGAAGTACGGACAGATCACCGTCGTGAAGACTCCATGAGCTCCCATGCACTCCAACTCTATCCTCAGTGCTTCGTCGAAACCAACCTGGGGGAGTTGCATACCAATTATTCAGTGATTAGCATTCGATTTGCCCAAACATATAAGTGACACCTACCGCAGCGAATTTGCTCGAACAGTAGTCTACCAGTTTGGAGATTCCGACGTGACCTGCAAGGGAAGCAATCGTCACAATGTGACCGTGGTCACGCTCCAACATCGACGGCAGGAAGGCTTTGGTAGTCTACAGAAATCGAATAGGAGGAAGAAAGCCGCATGGTTCGTTCAAATCAGAAGGGCAATTAATAATAACAACAGTGGGTTCGGACTTCTTGACGATAAACCTCTGATTGATATTCTTGAAGTCGCAAATCGGATCGGATGGGTACCGATGCCGATCACGTACCAGCGACGCGTCTTCTATTCAGACGCGGTTTGAGCTTTCGCGGGAGGAATCTCAACTAGATTTCATTCCCAATTGGAAGACAACGACGGTGACGACGACGTCGACGTCGTTTGGACGTGTCAAGCACAATGACCGAGCAAAAGCAAGACAATGTTCATCACTGTTCATAGGACAAAAGTGAGAATCGCATTAGCCGGAAGCATCCAGTCATGACCATGCCATTGTTGATCAAACACTTGAGCAGGACAGGGAAAAAAAATCCAATCAGGAATATCTGCCATGAAGACCGAGCCGCAATTTGTCGGTATTTATTATTATTACACGGTTTTTGCTCATGTTCGAGATGTACGTACCCAAAAGTGTGCAAGAATATTCACGTTGAAGGAGCGCTCGATCAGGTGATCGGGAGTGTCGAGAAGAGCTCTGCCCGAAACAACGCCAGCGTTGTTGAACAGCAGCGATACCTGTGGTTGGATAGAGATCAAATCGATGTTAGTATGAGTTTCAAGGTCATAATTTTTGGTTAAGATCAGTACGAATAAAGCAGAATGAATGTGTGCAGAAAGGTTAATTACAGTCAAATGACGCATAGAAATTACGAAAAAGATCGAGAATTAATCGATCTGGTATGATCGATGAAATTGTTTTTTTTTTAGTTTAATGCATCGAATGCTTCGTATGACGTAAAACGTATGAGGAAATCGCTTTCCTGTCATTAGTTACGAAAACAGTACAAACTGATCATGTAATTTAAATGCATATAATGCACGGGCAAAATTTTACCCTTTTTAATAGTTGCAAAAAGAAAAAAATTATATAAGAGAATTATTATAACCACCCGTCATGTCGTGACTAAATATCAGTTTTATAAAATTTGTTTAATTCTTTATTGTATCGAAATATAATTTCGAATGCTGAGACTTTTGAAAAAATTTATACGAAATAATTTTATAATTTCAGGCAAACATCAATTTTATTTTACATTTAGATCAGATTTAGTTTATGTGTTTAGATTTAAGATGACAATATTGTCATACTGACTCGCAGGTATACCTATATAAAAAAACTGTTTAAACACTGACCCTAAGAGGAAAAGGAAACAACTGACTTCTTTTTGTCTGTTACGTGTTCTTCTTCTCTCGCGCAAACGACCGTGCCAAAACTATTTCACTATGGGCCACGCAGTCGACTGTCAAAATACAAGCAAAAAGATTCCCTGTTGTTAAAATTCTCGCGTTTCTATACGTTCGCCCGACTAATCTGGCGCTGGTTTGCGTTTGACAGAAAATTGGTTCATATTGTCTCCTCTTCCTCTTAGCACTGACCTGCGAAGGCAAAAACAAGAACACTTCAAGACCAACAATTGAAATGGCCTTAACTCCATTTTGTAAACAAACCATTGTAAGGCCATTTTCTCGCGAACCGAAAACTACATTCGCAAACCTTACACACAATCGGGTAGAGGAGAATTTCCCCTACCTGTTCATTTTGTCGGTTTGCGTTGGTGGATTTTGGTTCGCGAGAAAATGGCCTTACAATGTTTGTTTACAAAATGGAGTTAAGGCCATTTCAATTGTTGGTCTTGACTTTATATGTATATATCATAACAAATACGGTTGCTTAGCTACTGTAGTAGCAGGAGCACCAAGGCTAAAACATGAATGTAAATTGATTTGAATATGGACCATTCAAGAATAAAAGTCCGAGGAAGCAGTAGAGCTAGCGCTGCAAGTGCGGACTGTTCACGCAAAGGCAGGATTTCACATTCGCAACTGGATGTCCAGCTCTAAAGATGTTCTTGCACGGGTTGGAGACTCGGTAGCAGAACCAGTATTTGTCTCTCTTTATTAGTTTTTGTTTGTCTTGTCCCCCCCTCTTGATGAGTCTCATCGTCGCCCACTGGTCGAACACCAGACGAAACTAGAACCGCACTACCGTTCATACTGGTGACAACGCTCTGATGAGACAACGAAACCTTACCCCCAAGCTCCTCCCCTGATCCTATCCTTCGACAATGTACCCAACTCCTGCTAAACATAGAATTAAGTGAATTTTATTACACACAAAGAACAAATAGCTTTCGACTCCGTAAAGCTAACGCGATTGAACCTTCCAAATAAACGAACTAGTTGAAAAAAAGGAGAACCAGTGAAATGCTTCAAAGCTCACAATTTCTTCGACATCCGAACGCGTGCTGGGAATGAGCTGGTTACCAGATACGGACAAATTTGTCTTTACTGGACTGTTTCGAGAAGAATTAGTACCAATTCTACAAGGAGATACCGTTCCAACAAAAAGGCAGCTGCTACAGGTGGTAATGAGTGTCTTCGATCCGCTTGGTCTTGTGTCAATATTCGTAGTCCACGGCGGTATGGCGGTCCAACATCGGATGAGATGGAGAAATCAACAACGAACTGTTCCGTGAATGGCGGCGATGGATTGGATTCCTGGGACATCTCGAAACCATCCGGATTCCAAGGTGCTATTTCCCGGGCTATAGCCCTGAAAGCTACGCTTCGTTCGCTGCGTTCAAACAAAAGTTGCCCCACTAAAGTCACTCTCTGTCCCTCGATTAAAGCAGCAGGCTGCTCTTCTCGGTGCCAGATTAGCAAAGTCAGTGAAGGAGAACCATTCATTGCGTATCAAGCCGCGGTCCTTTTGGAACGATTCAAGAACTGTTCTGGTTTTATTGAAGTCGAACCAACGTAAACACCGACAATTCGTGGCATTTCGTGTGGCAGATATACTCGATACTACGACAACGAGTCAATGGCGACATGTCCCATCACGGTGGAATGTTGCTAATGACGCCACTAAATGGAAGGATGTATTACGGCTCGACAACGGTCACCGTTGGTTCAACGGACCTGATTTCTTGCAGAATCCTCCAGATATGTGGCCACAACAGCAACCTCTTCCCACAGAGACGGCCGAGGAGCTGCAGCCGGTGCACATTCATCGAGAGAACGTGGTCGAACAGTTCGTAAACTTCAGGCGATTCTCAAAGTGGGAACGATGCAGGCGAACCGTCGCTTACGTCCATCGTTTTATCGATCAGCTACAACGAAAACGACGCAGAGAAGCACCCAATGTTTTGGAGTTGCTGACACGAGGAGAACTTCAGCGAGCTGAGCGACGGCGGAACAACATCGGCTGGATAAATCCAGCAAGATCTTCAAGTTATCTGCTTTCCTGGATGAACAAGGCGTAGTGAGAATGGAGGGCAGAATCGCTGGATTTTCGGACGGTCCCTACGACATCAAGTGTCCCATCGTGCTACCTAAGAACCACTACGTAACACAACTTATCGTTGACTGGTATCATCGGTAGTACAAGCATTACAATGGAGAGACAGCCGTGAATGAAATGCGGCAGAAATTTCACTTGTCGGAGATGAGAGTGGCATTTCGGAGGGCTGGAAAGTTTTGTACGTGGTGCAAGGTGTACAAGGCACCACAACGAACTCCTAGAATGACACCGTTACTAGAGGCAAGGTTCACTCCGTACGTGAGGCCGTTCAGTTTCGTTGGAGTTGACTACTTCGGCCCGCTACAGGTTACACAGGGTCGACGCGTAGTAAAGAGATGGGTCGCACTCTTCACCTGCTTGCCCATCCGGGCGATCCATCTTGAGCTAGTATCCAATCTGTCGATGGAGTGCTATCAAATGGCAATACGACGATTTATAGCACAGAGGGGGACGCCGTCGGAAATTTACAGCGATTGAGGGACGAACTTTGTTGGAGTCAGCCGCGAGTTACGAGAGCAAATACGCGGAATCAGCATGAACTTGGCAACAACGTTCACAAACAATGCTACCCAATGGCGCTTCAATCCCCCATCTGCACCACACATGGGAACCTCATCCCACTGCGTCCTAGCAAGAAGTACGGTCGACTTAGTTCGCGCTCCGCTATTTTGGAAGTTTTCTCGCTATTCGCTTGATTTAAATTGTCAGTTTTTTCTCGCTTAGAGTTCCCAGCTAAATAATTAACTAAAAGTGAGTTTTTTTCTGAGAAGGAAGTGTGTTTTCGGCATCATCGGAAGGAAAATTGTTTTTACGATTGCCAATTCGCCAACCATTTTGCGCACCATCGGTGCGTGGTAACGCATACCTGCACACGGATCATCGTCATCGAGTGTCAGCATCTGCCTCCGCATTTACACCGCTCATCTATCATCGTGTGTTCAGCTGAGTGCCGACCCTCACATAAGCACACACCAACGAAGACCACCCGCACACGCTGATCGAAGATCATCAAAGCTGCGCGTCGCTCCGCTGCTGCAGTTTAAACGCTCGGTGGTAGAAGTATAGGATTATCAGATAAGTTTTTGTTCTTGTTTCTCTCTTTCGCCCACAGTTAAATTTTAAGTTTGTGTTCTGTGTTTGTAGTTTTTTTTTTGTGTATTGTGTCCGAGTGATTATCGTTTCAGTGGTAGAGCGTTTTTCGCTCCCACTAGTACGGCAAAATGGACATTTTGTCGCAAGACGAAATGGACGTTTTGTCGGAAGATGACATCACTTTGCCACGCGATGGCAAGAAGGGTCGAAAACGTACGTTATCTCTCCCTGGTTCATCGTCTCAGTCTGGCAAAGGACAGGCTCAGATAAACCCCCGATCGCGAGCCTATCCAGATGACTCGACTGGCCCATGGGTTGTCTACTTTCAGCCCAGAAACAAACCTTTGAATGTAATGCAAATTACTAATGATCTGACGAAGCGATACTCGGCCGTGACTGAAATCACGAAGGTTAGGCACAATAAACTTCGTGTCTCCGTCTCTAACCTGAAGCAGGCTAACGAGATTGCTGCCTCCCAGCTCTTCACGCTCGAGTACAGAGTTTACATCCCAGCTCGTGATGTGGAGATCGAAGGTGTGGTCACCGAAGCGAGTCTGACTCCCGAGATCTTGGAGAAGCAGGCGGTTGGCCGTTTCAAGAACCGTTTGCTTCCTCCGGTGAAGATACTGGATGTCCAAAAACTGGGCTCAGTATCTGTCAGCGAGGGTAAAAAGAGTTTTACCCCCACAGACTCGTTCCGTGTGACCTTTTCTGGTTCAGCCCTTCCTCACTACATCGAGCTGGGAAAACTTCGACTACCTGTGCGTTTGTTCGTTCCCCGGGTCATAAACTGCCAAAACTGTAAGCAGTTGGGACATACGGCCTCCCACTGTGGCAGCAAGGCACGCTGTTCCAAATGCGGAGAGAAGCATGAGGATGACACCTGTGCAGCTACCGCACCAAAATGCGTGTACTGTAAGGGAACTCCTCATGGTATCTCGTCATGCCCGGTGTACAAACAACGCGGGGAGAAATTACAACGCTCACTTAAGGAACGTTCCCGGCAGTCTTTTGCAGAAATGCTTAAGACGGCCACGCCATCGACCATCGACAAAAATCCCTTTTCTCTTTTGTCAGATGACGAGACTGACTCTGACTTGGCTGAGGAGGGAACTTCTTTCTG